TAGCACAGACTCTGTTTTTGAATATTTGTTAGAAATACTTTTAACATATAGATGACCCTTGGTTTTGACAATTTTCTTAAGAGATATTTAATTTTTGTAACATGTCTGCAAGTTGAGGTGAATTCATAACATAAGCCTCTATTTTCAAGGATGACCTCACAAAAGAGTGGCCCTTGAACTGATTTCAGTCTCAAATGGATCTTCCAATCAAAGCACAGAGAGGGCTTTACCTCAGGTTTCATCCAATTTGCTTTAAAAATTCACTTTCACATACCTGCCCAAATCAAGGCAGCTCAGAGTGGGTACAGAAAAATACACACAGGGCATTGATGTGGGATGATTCTTAGAACCTGATACAACTAGACTACTTTATCTGAAACGTGGATTCTGTAAAAAGTCCCAAACCTCCAGACCTTTGTCATAATTATAATAATTGCAATAATTTTGTTTGTAAGTCTTACCATTCTAGCCCAGATGTTCCCCCATGTCAAATTCATGGAAAACGAAAAGAAAGTGTCTGAGTGGGAACTGTATGTGGACCACCAGATCCTATCCTCCCACTGTAATTCACTACCACAGAGAATTCTAATCAGGGTGACGGGTCAGCTGTTGTTTAAGATCTCAGGAAGGGAATACTGAATGTCCAGCCTCCACATGCATTTCTGGCAGCAAACACTCATGACGGGAGGGTTAATGGTTTTGGAGAGCAGCAGCAAAGGGGTGGTTACCATCCAGGAGAATAAAAATTATAGCCAAGCACTCAGTTGATTCTGTTGGCGGGAGCCAAGGGATGTTGCTATTTCATTTTTGAAAACACAACCATGGCCTCATCAGAAAGTGCAGTTTTTTAATGAACAGAGTAACTAATGTTGACTGCCTGACTAGCTTTCTCAACATTAAAAAAAAAAAAGAAACCGTTGCTGTCGAGTCAATTCTGACTCATAGCAACCCTAAAGGACTGAGTAGACCTGCCCTATCAGGTTTCAAAGGAGTGGCTGGTGGATTCGAACTGCCGACATTTTAGTTAGCAGCCGAGCTCTTAACCACTGTGCCACCAGGGCTCCTCCTCAACATATGTTGATAAGAACTTCAGGTAAAATCCATCTCTGATTTTTGAGGCAAAAGAAATGAAACACCCTTCTATCTTTCTGCTAAGATGAGCTGAGGAAACTGAAAAAAAAAAAAAAAAATGAATCTTACTTTTAATGAGCTGTGTGCAGGGCTGTCTTGAGGATGGGAATGGAGCGTGGTGGAGAGGGACAGAGATAATATTGAAAATGAATGGCTGGTTTGACGAAAAAGTCACAGAGTGGACTAGGCAGGCACAAGAGTGGGGTGGCCCACAGCCTGCTGCCATGCATTTCTACCTGGCTGCTGGCTCATGGTGTCTGCATTGCTCACTGGGAAAGATCCGCTGGCAGAGAAAAGATACAGAGTAGACCCCGCCTGACTGAAGTCAAACAGCTTCACTGTGAGGAGAAACCCAAGAGGCCTGGCCTAGCTCCTTGCGAAACCACAACAAGAAGCCAAAAATGTGCAGCTCCGCCGTTCTGGGGGGCCCAGGTTTTCTTCATCTACAGTCTTCCCCTCTCACATCCAGCCTCCCATCCTGAAGAGGAGAAATAATACAGCCTGTATAGAAAGTGACTTATTCCCCTCTGACAACTGAGATCATCCAGCATTCCAAGCTGGGAGAGTTAATGGATGACTTAACCCTCGCCCGGTGGCTGATGGCAGGCCCTCAGGAGACCGCCAGCGCCTTTGTCTGCAGGAGGCCAGAGAAAAGGCCAGTGACTGCCCCTCTTTTTGCCATTGTCATAATCATATTCTGCAGTGGAACATTAAGGGCATAAAGCAGATTTGTAATTAACCTTGCCTGATCTGTCCCCATAATGTCCTGGAGGGGACAGAGGGAAGCTGGAGGGGCTGCGGTTTCCTGGGGCTTATCTGGAAATTAAACTTTCCTCTGGTAAAAGCATTGTGCTGTGAGCTTCCTGCAGGGTAGGATCTGTGGACTGAGCTTTTGTTCTTTTTTCTTTTTCTTTCTTTCTGACATCCCTAGCCATAGCAAAGAAGGTGAAACAGAAGAAGCCTTCCCCATGCAGCCGAGGGCCCTAGAGGGCTCCAGGCCACCCCAGAGCCTGGCAGTCCTGGGCTTCCCACGCGCACGTTCTTCTAGACTGTAGTAGCTGTTAATCCAGTCCACTTGAGCGCTTGCTGCTTTTCTGCTCCCTCGGGTGGAGGTTTTCTGGGCTTGTGAGTGGCCTGATAGCTAACATCCTAAGAGGATCACCGAGCCTGGTGCTGGGTATTTTGGGGCTACTGGGACAGCTGTCAGGAAGATTGCTGCCCACCCCTCCTCCTCCCCCAGGGCAGGTGCCGTATGGCAGCGCGAGCCATCCTGCCTTCTTCAGGACCCACGAGGGTCCCTCCCCACTTTATCACAGCCCAGAAAGGTTAGGCAAGTTAGGCCATAGAGCTAGAATTTGGCAGAGGAACAATGATTAGTGGCTTCTATCTAGAAAATCTGAGAGGGTCGGTTACCTCACAGGCTTCTCAGCAAATGCCGATTTATCCTATGGGGCAGACCAGTGGTTCTGATTGTTTATCAGCATTATCTGAAGTGGGTGTTAAATTGATGGACCCCATCCCAGGGTTTCTAATTCTGTAGGTGAGGGAGAAGGGGTAGCTGAGAATGTGCATTTCTAACAAGTTCTCAGGTGATGCCAGCCCAGGGACCATACTTTGAGAACCCCTGGAATAGACCCATCCTGCCAAATGGAAAAATGCCAAAATACTGTCACTGCAGTGCCTGCAGAGTAATTGGAGAACTCTAGCTTTTAATGCTGTTTCAATTTGGCAATTACTTTTTTAAATGAAAGGAAACAAAATGTACTCCAAGGGTGATGCTTTCTTTCTAAAAAAACGTAGTTTGAAGACAGTATCACAGAACGTCGTCTGGGTGGTAGATGCAGCAGCGATGTTGGTTATCCTCCATTTTTTCTGTGTGCTTGGCATTTTTCAAATTAATTTTTCATGAAAAGAAGGACGAGGGCGTTCCAGCTACACTGGGAAGGATCGCATACCTGATCCTTCCTCCCAACTCCCTGGAAGAGAAAGGTCGCCATCCACAGCGCCGCATGTCTGAACACTCTGAGCACAGCTCCCACTCTGCCCTGTGGAATGCTTTGTGAACAATGCCACCACTTTTGTTTATTTTAATTTTGTTGCTCATCTGTCTATGTTGTCAGTCTGAGAGGGTGAGCTCCCAGAGTGTGACTTCAGTGGTTTTGTACAAGGCATGTCTGCCATAAAGCTGCTGCCGAGAGGCCTTTCGTGAAGACCGCTGAGGTGATGAGGGAGGGGCCCTTGCTGGCTCCCTTGGCTAAGTCCCTCGCCATTGGCAGCTCTCATCCCCCATCCCCACACTCACCACCAGGCTGCCCGCACCCTCCACTCTGTGCACTGTTTGCTCTTTCATGCTTCTCTGGAGCACCATCATTTCATCATGAAATAGCACCTGAAGTATTCCACCTGCAGGGCATTTCATCTTCCCTCTTCTCAGCCTCTTTAAAAGAAAGCTTGAGAAAGCAAAATAGTGATGATTAATAATTACTGTGTTTATCCTTCTCACTGCCATCACTGCTTCCACCCTGACCTAAGCTTCCACCATATCTCCCCAGCATTGTTGCAGTGGCCTCCTAACAGGTCTCCCTGCCTCTGCCCCTACTTCCCTGCCTCTCTCCTCAGCACAACAGCCAGAGGGATCTCATCACTGCTCTATTAAAAACCCTCTATCAGCTTCCATTCTAATTCTAGAGAAAGAGATACATACCTTATGTTACATGACCTGACACCCTGCCCCTGCCCCATACCTCTGACCTAACCTACATCTCTCCCCTAGCTGACTCTGCTTCAGCCACAATCTCATTCTCACTGGCCAAGCTCTCTGCCTCAGGGCCTTTGCATTTGCCGTATCTTCTGGCTGGATCACTCTTCCTCCAAATATCCCTATAGCTCCCTTTCTTACCTCCTTCAAGTCTACTCAAAGGTAACTTTATCACAAAAGGCCAGAACCCTCTTAAGAGCAATGGCCTCCATTTTCCCACTGTGCTCACACTTTCAGGGTGGTCCTCATCCCCTAGAACCTTCACAGGTCACCACAGGCCCAGGATTCAGTCTGGCAGCCCCTGACCAGTCACTCTTAAGCATGGGCTGACAACTGCCCCTGGGACTGGCCTGAGTCCCTGCAGTGGACATTGTATTTAGAAGAAGACGCAGGAGAAATGGTTTGGAGGCCTGGGGCACCCTGCTTTTTGACTTATCATCACAGTAGTCTTGCACCTATGTTTTTCCTGGTACAAGATTCAAGCAACACCAGTTAATGAGGGCAAAACATCCTCCTTCACTACCACTCCTTCCAGCTCCTGCCCGCAAGGGGCCTGCTGCCAACAGTTTCAAGCATGTGTGCGCGTGCACACGTCTGTAAATCATGCCATATGTATTTTATTCTTCAACGTGCTGTTCCCTTAACATATCCCTTTATTAAGTCCTGTCCACGTGTACACTTATTTTTTTTATTGTACACGTAGTGCTGTTCATGTTCCCACACTTAAAATATCTCCACCATTGTAATAATTATCATTGTTGTGATGATCACGATTTCCCTTCTTTTTGTACTATAATTTGAGCCCTGTTTTAGATCATATTACAAAGACATCTTTGTGTGTGTGTATCTTTCTGCTTTGGTAGAATTATTTCCTTAGAATTCATTTCTAGGGCCCACAATACTGTGTCCAGGGGTATAAACATTTCTATTTCTACTATTCTTCATACTTATCTCATTTCCTAAAATGAGGTATTGATTTACTATCTCATGAAGAATGGTTTTGTTTTGTTTTTACTATCAGCTAAATAATGTTGAGTATCGGAGACATGGAGAAGAGTGAGGAAAAAGAACTATTAGAAATGACGGAAACGGGTGCTTTTTGTCTTCTCAGTACAACCAGCTCCACAGCCAGTAGCTGTGATACCGAGTTCACTAAGGAAGACGAGCAGAGGCTGAAGGATTACATCCAGCAGCTCAAGAATGACAGGGCTGCCGTCAAGCTGACCATGCTGGAGCTGGAGAGCATCCACATTGACCCCCTCAGTTATGACGTCAAGCCTCGGGGAGACAACCAGAGGCTGGACCTAGAGAACGCCGTGCTGATGCAGGAGCTGATGGCCATGAAGGTAGACTTATGGGTGGGGTCCCGCCCACTGACCCTCTGCCTGTCCGCTAGGGTGTTGTAAGAAGAAAACATAAAAGGCCCTCTGAAAGTGGGGAAAGCAGATGATGAGAAATCAACCCCACCCACTTTCAGTCATCTCTCCCCAGAAGATAGCGAGAGCCTCGTTTGTAAAACGGGCCGTTTTCCCTATGTCTGGGAGTCATTTGGGCCAGATGTGTTCCTTGAGGGGTGAGTTGAGCTCCAGAAGATGCCTCAGGTGTCACAGCTTTGAAACACCCAGTGCAGACCTCTACAGGATGGAGTGTCTATGTTTGTTGTTAGGTGCCGTTGAGTCTGTTCCTACTCATAGCGACCCTATGTACAACAGAACGAAACACTGCCCGGTCCTGCACCATCCTCATGACCATTTTTATGCTTGAGACCATTGTTGCAACCACTATGTCAGTCCATCTCCTTGAGGGTCTTGTTAGTGCTGTTGTAACAGAATACCTCAAGTGGGTGGCACTGAAGAACATTTATTGTCTCACAGTTCAGGAAGCTAGAAGTCCAAATTCAGAGTGTGGCTCTAAAGGAAGGTCTTTCTTCTTCTATTTCAGCTTTTAGTAGTCGGCAATTCTTGGCGTTCCTGGACTTGTAGATTGAGTCATCTGCCTCCATTCCTATAGCATCAGATAGCATCTGTCTTCTCCCTGTGTCTGTTTCTGTGTCTAATTTGCTGTTTTTATAACTCAGAAGTGATTAGGTTTAGAACACAACATACACTGCCAAGGCCTCATTAACATAACAAATAAAACCCTATTCCTAAATGGGATTACATCCACATGTATAGGGGTTTGGATTCCAACACGTTTTAGGGGGCACAATTCAACCCCTAACAATTGAGTTACGCCTCTGTCCATCTAATATAACTCTCAATCTCAAGAATGTGTAAAGATACTTCATGTGCCCTGGTTGATGGTTCTGATGTTGCCTTGAGGCAGGAGATGTGGGGTGAGTCCAACTGCAGAATTTGGATGAGAACCTTGGTTTCCTGACAGCCTTTCCCCTTCGGTACCGTGTTGGGTCCGCACGGATTCCGATGCCCTCCCTGTGACGCTTTACTAGTGTATTGTTCTGTCAGTGTTTCCTGATAACATCTTGGGCTGCTTTTCCAAAGATGAGAGTTATCTGCTGGTGTTTCTAAAGCAGGGGAAGCTTTCTTGGAAGGCTGGGGCCCCTCACTGGGAAGTGGATAAACTACCATCTCTCCAGCAGGACACACGTGTGTTTTTGGCCAGGATGCCAGGCACTAGGCCTGCACCTTCGACCTGCTCTCCTCAGAAGACAGCTCCTAAGAACATGATCCCATCCAGGGGGCAGACACTCTCACTGCAACTTCATCTCAGCAGACCTACACCCAGGGTGGGCACTTGCTTGGGGCTGTTCCTGCAGGCCTGGGTTGAGCACAGGACTCTGCTGCCAGGCCCTGTTGCTGTGGGGAGCAGGAGGCGAGGGGGAGAATAGGCGCCATGTTCCCCAGTCTGTTATCCAAACTCCATGCTCCTGTGAGTAAAGGCCTGATTTGCACAGGCTTGGATTCTGCAGTGTTGAGACATGAGGAAGGGTCTCTCAGGGGTGGAAGTGAGGGTCACAGTCAGTATAAGAACAAGAGGCAGCACAGCAGGGCAGAGGGTGTTGTCATGACCAGTCTCCTGTTGTGACCAGCACTGTCCTCGGAAAATGCACTGAGGTTTGAGCTGTGAAGTGATGAAGACCTTCCCCCGGTTGCACCGCTCCTGGAGAGGAGAGGGCCTGTCAGCAGCAGTCACCCCTGACATACTCCGGGGTAACTTATTCAGCTTGTCTCTGCCCTGTGTGGCTGCGCTAGCTTTACTCTGGTGAAGCCTGGGAGGACTCTGGGCAGTGGTAGCAGATGCAGGAATCACCCCTTTGTTTCCAAGCTTGCTTGTGTCAGGTGCACCAATTCGGCTCACATCTTGACTTCTGTTTTCTCTGGAGAATCCTCACACAACTTGACTGATTTCTCCTCTCACTGCCCACGAGGCGGGCCTTGGGTCCATAAGCACAGTGACTTTTTCCCCAGTCAGGAGGCCCCTTTGCAGACCCTCACACCCTGTAGCATGAGTCATGAGGCTGCCCTTCAATTATTTATTACAACCATCATGTTTCCTTTGGCCAAAGACTAAGAATTTCCTTTTGATATTCAGGCAAATATGTAAGAAATTTGGTTTAATTCTGCCCAAGAAAGGCATTTTTTGTGGACTCAAAGTTCTAATAGTCCCTTTGCCACTTAAAATATGTGCGGGACCTCATACCACCAAGAAAGCAGCACCAGGAGCAGAGTGCGTCCTTTGGACCCAGGGTCCCTGCGCCTGAGAAGCTCCTCAACAAGGGGAAGACTGAGGACAGGGAACTTCCTCCAGAGCCGACAGAGAAAGTCTTCCCCTGGAGCTGACACCCTGAATGTGGATTTCTAGTCTTTTTTTACTACACTGTGAGAAAATAAATTTCTCTTTGTTAAAGCCAAATAAATAAATAAATAGAATATGTACTCATCTTAGAAATGTTCTAGAAGAGTCGAAATCATAAAAAGCTGAGAGAGAAATAACCCATAATATTATGATCCAGGGGCACCATTGCTAGCATTCTGGCTTGGTTTCCTACTTACAAATCAAAGATAAACATCAGAGCCATTCCACTTCCCCATGTGTCCCGCCTGTGTGTTTTATGTGCTCACCCTACCAAATCCATTACCAGGCACATTATATTGGATTTCACCATTTTGTTCTAGGAGACAACTCTGAGAAACTTAACTGTTGTTTGGGGTTTTTTTCCCTCCTTTCTTGTACATGATCTTCAGTACATACTTTTTCATTTCTAGATGATCTACTTGGTTCCCTTTCAGATCCACTCTTCTTTTTTGAATGCTCTTTCATTATGGCTTCTATTCCTTTCTCTCTTTCATTGTTTGACGTGTTTATAGTTTTTTGCTTTTTGTTATTTTTGGCTCCTGTAAAGTGCTAATTCTCACTTGGGTTGCATCTGCTGATTCTGCCTCCATGTGGTCATTTCCTCTTCCAGAGTGAGTGTGTGTGTGTGTGTGTCTGGAGGGAGGGAGGGCGGGCAAGGGAAGAACATGCCGTAGCTCATCTTCAGTGGACATTGTGTTTTCCACGGGAGTCCCGAGTCCTGGGTTGCAGATGTCCCTACGCAGTGGTTCTACGTTTAGATCTATTGAGGACCCGTGGGCTGCAGAGGTTAAGGACTAGTTTTTATTACATTCTTGGCCTTACTATTCTTGTACCACACCAAGACATGACACGAGTTTGAGGTTTTGATTCCTCAAAAGAGACTTTTCCTTCTTTCCCCACCCAGAGCCTGCGAGATGACAAGTGTCCTTGCCACAGCTCCAGAGAGGAAGTTTTCTAGTCTCTATTCCAGGCAGTAGTACAAGAGTCCCAGCTCATGTGGAGGCCTAAATTCTAGCGCTGTGCCTCATGGAGGCCAAGGCCCTGCCCTTGAGTTGGCGTTAAAGTCCCAGGTCATAGGGCCGGCATCCAGGTCTGATGCCTCTGTTGGCCAGTGCCGTTTCCACCTTGGTTTTCCCCTCTGGTGGAGTTCTCTCTTCATTTCTGGCACCTATGGACTTCTTGTTCCTTCTTTCAAGCTTGCATTTATATTTGTTCTTGGAGTGACCATCCATCCACATTAACTCAGTGTGCAGTGTTGCCAGAACCTTCATAATCTTGCTTCTGATGGCAAAAGATGAGAAAGCTTCTCTGTATGGAAACATGTTTCATTCTGGTTTTTATGACTCATTCTGGTGTTTATGACTGATCTTTAGAAAAAGTTTAGCATGTTCTCTTGCATAATCACTGAGCACATTGCCCTCTCCATGGTATAACACCCTCCAGCCCTGAGTACTACAAGTCTTGGTGGGTAATATGACCTCTAGGTGCATCCCCACATTGGAAAGTGAAAACTTTACCCTTGGGTCTGATGATCCATCACCTGTGAAGGACTCTGGCTGATCCAAGAGCCCACCAGGCCTGTGGCTTATTACTTCAGAAGTCACTTCAGAGGTATACAGAATTAGTGACTTTGGTGAGTTGATCTCAAGGTAGTGACTCCACTTTATGAAGCATACTTTTAAGTCAGGGATCATACTGATGGCTGGGGAGCTGGACTTGGTGCCCATGTGGTGGTGGACTTACCTTCCAGCACGGGTGAGGGAGCCCAGGTCATGCATGGGCTCATCTTGAAAGTGAGGGAGGTAGTATAGCTTAGTGGTTAAGAGCCTGGGCTCTGAGCTAGACAGCCTGGGTTCAAACCCTGACTCCACAACTTACCCAGTAACCTGGGCAGGCTGATTTGACTCTCTGTGCCTTAGTTTCTCATCTGTAAATAGAGATACTGGGAGGATTAAATGAGCTCCTTCATGTGAAACCCTTATGACGTGGTAAGTGCTCAATAAAAGGTGGTAGTTACCATTGTAATCTGGCTTCTGGTCCCCTTATAACATTGTCCCATTTTGGCTTCACTTCTTTTTCTCCATTGAGAACTCTAATTTGAGTTCTCTAAGATACTGTTTAAAGTGATTGACTGCTAACCAAAAGGTCAGCAGTTCAAAACCACCAGTGGCTCCATGGGAGAAAGATGTGGCAGTCTGCTTCCATAGAGATTTACAGCCTCGGAAACCCTACAGGGTCACTATGAGTCGCGATCAACAAGATACCATTAGAAGTTATCTGATGAATGGTCACTTGTGATGGACTGTTTCTATTGATTTCATTTGGGCCCTCAAAAGTAGACAAGAGTTGGGGATAATATTGCAGTGGGCACTACCCACCAGCCTGCTCAGCTGCAGGGCAAACGAGAGTTTCCATCAGGGTATGTGAAGTGGTGCCATAAAGTGAAAGGGAAATTAGAAGGAACGAGTCAGACCCAGCCTTGGGTGGATGACCCTCTGTTACGACTTTTGACTGGTGAAGCTCAGCCTCTGCAGGTCAGAGGATGTTTCCAACAAGGCAGGTGTGCCCACTGCAGGAGGGGAGAAAGGGGTCCTAGTTGCCTAGTTTGGGTTCTTATATTGAACCAAAATCTGCCTATAACTTATACCCCTTTATCTTAGTTTTAGTCCATAGAGCAACAAGGCACATAGCTGTGTCCCCCTGTAAGTCCTTCAGACATGTGGAGACAGCTGTTTTGTCTTCCTCTAGTCATCTTATCTCTAGCTTCAAAGTGATAACTCGCAAGTCCATGAGTTCCAGCCACAGCCCCCATCTCACTCATCCACTTTCCCACGCCCGACCCTGTTCTCAGGCCACAGCATCTCATATGCTATGATCCTTGTTCCTCAGGAGGAGATGGCAGAGCTGAAGGCCCAGCTCTACCTGCTGGAGAAAGAGAAGAAGGCTCTGGAGCTGAAGCTGAGCACCCGAGAGGCCCAGGAGCAGGCCTACTTGGTGCACATCGAGCACCTGAAGTCTGAGGTGGAGGAGCAGAAGGAGCAGCGGATGCGGTCCCTCAGCTCCACCAGCAGCGGCAGCAAGGACAAGTCTGGCAAGGTAGGGCCAAGGGCACTGGGGACCCCTCGGGCTCAGGCCTCATTGCCTGCCCTGCTACCACTGGCTACACCTCCCTCTCCCACTGCCTCAGTTTCTTTACTTGCATAGGCATTATGGATATCCAAGAAGAAGGTGACATATTGAATGCAAGGAAACCAAATCCACATAATTGGGGGTTGGTGGGGGGAGGATAAGCTCATTTTATGTAATAATGGAAACATTTTCACATATCATAGTCTTATCAGAAGCGTAATCTGTGATATTGCCCAATAGTCTGATGGGTTTCACCTCCTTTTTCTAATCACCTTTCATATAGCAGCCAGTAATTGATGAATATTTAACTCTGTACCAATCATTTACATTTATTATGAGGAAGGAAGAGTTATCCCATTTTACATGAGGAAAATGAGGTGCCAAAAAAAAATGAAGCATCTCCTAGCTTACAAACTGCAGAACCAGGATTTGCCCCACCTCTGGTTAGCAGGCTCTTTTCCTCTTATCTACATTTCCTCCCCAGCTTCTATCGGTGTTTCTAGTCACCGATGAGGTGGTGAGCAGGAAGCAGCCTGAAGGCAGAGAAGGCGGAAGCCAAGCCCTGAGATTACACAGAGTATATCATCACAGAGTGGGACATCTGGTGATACAGTCTTGCAAACTCAAACACTTCCATCAGCCCACAGGTCTTTTTTATAGAATCCAAACTCATTCCATCATCTGTGTATCTCAGATTTATTCCAAATACTGCACTGGAGAAAGAAAAAAAAAAAGCTTCTGAAACCTAAGAAATGAGGGTCCCAGGGTACCATGCATTCTGTATTTTCTATTCCTAATCAACGCTAGCTTCTCCCGACCCCAGTTTGTTTGGGCTGGGGCTTGTGGGCATGTGACTTGATGCTGTGCTGGCGAGTGGCTTCTCATAGCTGGGCTGGCACGAATGCAGGGAAGTCTCCAGGAGAGTTATGTGCCTGGCAAGAAGGGAGCAGTGTCGATGTCACGTGGCAGGGAATTGTCACTCCCTAAATAGATAAGGGAGTCCCTGGGTGGTGCAAACTGTTCATGTACTCACAGTCAGCCGCGAACCAAAATGTTGAGGGCCCACGTCTACCCAGAGACACCTCAGAACAAAGGCCTGGCAATCTACTTCTGAAAAATCAGCCCTTGAAAACCCTATGGAGCACAGTTCTACTCTGATACACGTGGGGTTGCTATGAGTCAGAGTTGACTTGACGGCAGCTTATTTAAATAGCTCAGAACTTTGAAGCATGCTTTACAAACAGCCACAGCTACACTTTCCCCACCTCTCACCTCCTAAGGAGCCAAGGGAGCACAAAGCCCTGGCACCCAGCTAGGCCAGCTCTTGTAAGACCCCAGCTGCTTTCCATTCCATGCAGCCAATAAATGTGTGCCCGCACCTTGGGCGAGGTGCTGGAGGCAGTTCTGTGACGAACATGACAAGGTCTGTCTTCCAAGAATTTACATCCTGGAGGAAGACTGAGGGGCAAACAGGTGATCACAGTACAGTGCCCTAAGTGCGAGGATCAACAGGCCAGGCATGGGATCCAGATTGGAGCGTCAGGACAGGTCTCCCAGAAGAAATGAACTTCTGAGCTGAGACCTAGTGGAGAGTGGGAGCCAGCCTGTTGAGAAAGGGCCAGGGCCAAAGGGCCGGGGAAAGGAGAAGGCATGCTCTCAGCAGATGCAGCAGCATGTGCAAACACCTGGAGGAAAGGGGAGTTGATCACCATGGCTGCAGAGGTCCCCAGCCGTGTTGTCCTAAGGACAGAGAGGATCTGCTGAAGGACTTTCCGCGGAGGAGTGACGTGATCTGATTGGAGCTTCAGAAGAGTAGCCGTGGTGAGGGCACCGTGAAGCTGTCTGCCAAGCGCCTGGGGAGTTGAGGCGATGGGTGGGGTGGGCAGCAGCCTACACAGTGCCATTTCAGGCAGTAGCATCAGCGCTCAAGATGGGGCTTTCTGTTCCACGCATGCCCCTTAAAAACCTTTATATAGCCTTTTGCGTTTGGTAGCAGTCACTTTGGGACAGAGCCCCAGTGTTCCCCAGTGTGTTGGTAGGTGTGGTGGAAATGGACTCACTGTGTTCTTGCCAGAAGGCCCATGAACTGAGCATTCTCCCCCAGCTCCTGCTATTTATTTTGACTGGTAGCAGCACTGTGTTTCATGGACTGGCTTCAAAGTACAGAAATCTGAGAGAAAAGGTCAAATGGTGTTTTTTTTTTGTTTTGTTTTGTTTTTACATTAGAGTAAGAAGCTGTTATAAAAGTACCTTGTGTTGCTCAGGTAATGAAATTAGAGTAAGCTAGATTATCTTGTCTTTCAAATAGTAGATCCATTTACTATTTCAATAAATCTCCCTTCTGGGCAATTTATTTGGGAGCATTTGTTGGTAGGTGAGGCAAGCAGTACAAAGCAGGGGTCAGTAAACTTTCCTGGAAAGGGCCAGATAGTAAAGGTTTTAGGGTTTGCAGCCCAGACGGACTCCACCGCGACAACTCAGCTGTGCTATTGTGGAGTTGCAGCATGGAAGCAGCCAAATCCTGTATATAAACAAAAGGACCTGCCTGTGTTCTGATAGCTCTTAATGGGCATTGTAATTTGAATTTCATATAGTTTTTACATGTCACAAAATATTCTTCTTTTGGTTTTTTTTTCCAGCCTTTTAAACGTGTGAAAAACATTCTTAGCTTGTGCGCCATACAAAAATAGGTGTCGGACCAGATTTAGGTCTAGAACATCCATTCTTGCTCCACTGGGTGAGTGTTTGTGCTTGTTTATAAAGATGCCCTCCAGCCAACACAGCTAGGTCCCAAATCTTATCCAAGTTGCATAAGGCTCTATCTAGTAGTTCTCACTTATATTCAAACAGATATTACCAAATATGTTTAGTGAGAGGCTCAGAGGGTGAGAGCAGGGCTCCGACTCATGGCAACCCCTTGTGTGTCAGAGGAGAACTGTGCTCCACAGGGTTTTCAATGGCTGATTTTTTGGAAGTAGATTGCCAGGCTATTGTTCTGAGGTACCTCTGGGCAGACTCAAACCTCCAACCTTTTGGTTAGCAGCCAAGCATGTTGGCTGGGGGACTCCAAGACAAAGACAGTCCCTGTCTTTAAGGAGTTCACGGTCTTAGGAAACCGTTAATATCAAATGGGTGTTGTGGGAATCTAGATAGATCCCATGGGCTGGTGGAAGCAGGAACTCACGCTGGGTCTATGAAGACAGCAAGATGGAGAAGAGGGAGGGAAGGCAGCGAGGTGGCAGGCACAGTAGAGGGAAGGGGTGTTCAGATGCTGGCAGTGCTGCTGCAGAGGGACCCCCTGGGTAGAGCGCCATTCCTTTATCAGACGGGTTGAGGGAGACACTTTAGCCTCCTGTCACCTGGGTTTCTAGCTCTGGGTTCATACCTCTTCACAGTACTCATCATATCATGATATAAATTTGTTTATATTCTGGCCTTTTAATCTCAGGCTTGGGATGTAGTAGATCCTCAGTAAATGTGCACTGAGTAAATTATCAGGTAAGCGCCTTCCCCGGCCATTTTTCTATGTAGTGTAGCTGCTGCTCTGTGTCTGTATGTAGAGAAAGGAAAGCATTCAGTCAGGTAAGATCATTGCTTTGTGGATAGCCTTCGCTGGGATTTAGGAGTTCTGGCTCTTAAATTTCCTCATCTATGAAAGGAGATGATCTGGTTTAGATGATGTCTAGGGTCCTGTCGAATGCTAATACATGGGTGGGGGGCTGTGCTTCCTTTCTCCCCCTTCTTTTCTGGGTCTTCTAGATGATTACACTGAACCCAGTAAAAGTCCCAAATTTAGATAATACTGGTTGTCTCCCACGGAGAAGTGGGATGAGGCAGCAAGAAAACTTACGTGTATTTCTCACTTGTTCTTTACAAATCACAGAAGGCTTAACCTTGTGGTTAAGAGCACTGATCTGGAGCCTGGGTTTGAATCCTGGCTGCACCGTTTTCTAGCTGGTGACTTTGGGCAATTTAATTTCTTTGTGCCTTAGTTTCTTCCTCTGGAAAATGTGAATAATAGTATCTTCCTTGGAACACAGATACTTGTACACCAGTGTTCATTACAGCAGTATTCGCAAGAGCCAAAAAGTAGAAACAGCCTGTATTCCCATCATTCCCTGTTTATGAATGGATAAACAGGATGTGGTACATATATTATAATGGAATATTACTCAGCCATAAACAGCACTGAAGTCTGATACATGCTACAGCATGGATGAACATTGAAAATGCTGAGAGAAATAAGTCAGTCACAAAAGGACAAATATTGTATGATCCCACTTACATGAAATATCTATAATAGGCAAGTGCATCGAGACCAAAGTTTATTAGTGGTTACCAGAGGCAGGCAGGAGGGAGGGGGAAATAGAACTCAATCCTTAGGGGACACTGAGTTTCTGCTAAGAGTTATGGAAAAATCTGGGAACAGATAAGGGTAATGGTTGAACAATATGATGGATATAATTAATGTCATTAAACTGTACATTTAATAATTGTTAAAATGACAAATGTTTTGTTACATATATATTTACCTCAATAAAAGAAACAACAGTACCTGCCTTAGGAGGTTGTTGTGATGATTAAATGAGTTAATGCATGTGGAGTGCGTAGACCAGCCTGGCACACAGTGAGTTCTCTGAACACCCCAGGCAGCACCCGCTGGCCAGCCTGGGAAGGTACCAGATATCTGGGAGCACAGGAGACTTTTTTGCGTTTGCTGCCAGACTTTACCCTTCAGCATGATCTAAGGGTGCTGCTGCACACCCACAATGCCACTGCTGAACTATTCCCCTAACGTGTTCAGCCGCAAAGCAGATGAGTTTCCAAGGTGCTCTCAGTAACGGTTTCAGGTCTAACAAAAATGTTTTTGCTGTTCCCAGGAGTGTGCTGATGCTACCTCCCCAGCTCTGTCCCTGGCTGAGCTCAGGACGGCATGCAACGAGAGTGAGCTGGCTGCGGAGTTCACCAATGCCATCCGCCGGTAAGCACCTGTCCCACAACCCCGCAAGCAGTTTGTTCTAGGAGCGAAGGTTCTGTTCTGGGTTCTGTTGGCTGCTCATGTCAGCTCATCATGGGTGTGGCAGACCCACCAGGGATGGAGGAGGTGCTACTTTTGCCCATGACTTTGGGGTCCAGAAGGGAGACACCCTGTTTTGTCAGGCCTTTCAAAAGGGGAGGGAGGGGACGAGTATATAGGCAAGCATTTTATCTGCAAATAAGAAAATCTGGTCTCTACCTTTCCTTTTGTTGTCGTGTTGCTGCATTGGCCAGGACCTCCAGGACAGCGTTAAACAGTGATGATGAAAGCAGGCAATCTAATTTTAGTGGGAAAGCTTGCTTCCAGCACTGGTGGCCTTTTCAGTCAGAAGGCGTCTTGTATTTATTCAGCTCTGGGAATTTTTCCTCTATTTTTTTCAGCATTTCTTCCCCTCCATTCTTTCTCCCCTTCTGCAAGAAGAAACAAGTTCATCTAGCTCTGTCTTCCATGTCTTAACTTTCCGTGCTTTCTATCACCATCCTTTTGTACTATGTTCTAGAGCAGTCCTGGAAATAGAAATATAATGTGAACTACAGATACAGTTTAAAATTTTCTAGTAAACACATTTAAAAACGTAAAAAGAAACATGTGAAGTTAGTGTGTTTGTTTTTTTTAAGTTGGGAAAATAATTTATTATATCTATCACATTTGGGGATTTAGTTGGAAAAATAGAGGTAAGTTTTTATTTCACATCTTATTAGAATGTTATAATTTGTTTAATCCAATATATCTAAAATATTGTCATTTAACATATCAATATTTAAAAAAAAAAACTATTGAGATTTTTTTCTTTTTTTGTACTAAATCTTCAAAATCCAATGTGTTATTTTGCACCTACTGCACATCTCATTGAGGATCAGCCACATTTTAAGCGCTCAGCAGCCACACGTGGCTAGTGGCCACTGTATCAGACAGGGCAATTTTAGAGAGAATTCTTCAGTTCAGTATTCCAGCTCACTAATTTATCCTTTACCTATCTGCACTGTGTTTGGCCTTTCTGTTTTTATTTTGGTGACCAAATCTATAAACTCTTTTTTAATGATGTGATGTCCTGTTGTATCTCTCTGAGGATCTTTATCATACTTATTCTAAAATCTTATTTTGTCCACTGTATTAACTCTGTTTCCTCACAGGTAAATTCTTTTTTGAGTTTTGTGACTCTTTCTGGGTGTTGGCTGTCCTTAAATATTTGGTGGTTCTTGTTTGTGTTTGTCCTTGTATTTGAAATTCCCAGGTAGCTTGTTGTAACTTATCTGCTTATTACAGCCTACATAAACAGCTGCCATGGAGTCAGTTCAGATTCATGGCAACTCCATGTTCGTCAGAGTAGAACTGTGCTCCATAGGGTTTTCAGTGGCTGATTTTTTGGGAAATTGATTGCTAGGCCTTTCTTCCGTGGCACCTCTGCGTGGACTCGAACCTCCAGCCTTTCAGTTAACAGTCAAGCACGTTAGTTGTTTACACCATCCAGGGACTGCTATTACAGCCACCACCAGAAAATGTAGCCAGGCCTTGTGATGTGCTGTCAGTTGGGCTGAAGCAGAAGCTCATCTTCTGGGCTTTCTGTTCCTTCTGGCCGATAACAGCCATTCAGACTGCCTGTCTGACCCAAGTGTCTGACCCTTCCTGTTCCTGATAGCCAACACATCTGGTTGCAGCACCCCTGATTCTCCTCCTTCCTTTTGCAGTAGTTTTGTTCTTTGTGAATTTTGAGTTTTGGCTTTCTTCTTTAGGAAGAAAAAAAAAAAAAAAGAATCATCTTTTATGACTGTTCACACACGTATCTTTTCCATCATTTCTGGGGATTTGGGGTGGGAGGGGAAGGCTACGGTCTACACTCATTCTGCTATCTTGACCCAGCCAGGGCTGTTTATTTTAGAGTAAGGCCTGCAAACCAACGGTGGGTCGAACATTGCCATGTGGGGAACTTCACTACCCTCTTGATTTACTCACTGTCACTTTTCGTTTTTCCTTCCAAGTTGTAATAGCTCTGTTTTTACACTGCCAGTGCCTTTGACCACGTTGTTAAATTGTAATTGCTTAGCTTGGGGCAGGAGAGAGAAGCAGCACAGGAAAATCCCTTCACCAAATCCTAATGGCTTGGCTGTGCCAGAAACATGGGATGAGAATCCACTCCCTGGTTCCATGGGGAGCCATTTGGGTATTGTATCTGTAAGCTAAGCCCCTAAATTTTTCAAGTTCCCCAAACCTCATGGGCCTTCTCTGGCACAAGTAGGAAGCAGGTTTTGCTGACTGAACATAAAGAGATTTCATTTGTTCTGTCAGTCACGATGGATTTCCAATAACCAGCCTTGACGTTGGTTAGCATGGATTTCTAATCAAGACTCCCATCTGTGGAGCCAAGATAGAACCCACAGGGCTAAAAGAAAGAGGAAAATAACATAATTATACTGTAAATATAGCTCAGAAACTTCAATGATTATTTCATGAGAGTATACAATACAGACACCCAAGGGCTGAGTTTAGGGGTATTTTTATTTTTAAAAATTAAGTGGAAACTAACACCTTTTTTGAAGGTATTAAATCACTGCCAAGCTAGTGGCTGAGGTCAGTTGGGGAAATCTTACTAGCATTTTCCAAAACATTCCTTCCTTGAAGAGGGATGCTTCCAGGCACCAAAGCTGTGGGCCTGGCGTCCAGATTGAAAAGAGCAGGTATAGATAAGGGCGTGGGGAAGAATATAAGCAATGGTGCTGTCTTGAGGAGAACCAGCCACCCCCAAGGACGTGCCTGTGGCATTTCAGTCACTGGCCCTGGGTTGTTGCCTGTCCCCACTCTGGCTCCCCCGACCCCGCTGGGCTTCAGCCTCAGTCAGGCCCTTGCCACTCAACCCCATATCTTTTTTTTTTTTTATTTTGCAATCAATAGACAATAAATTCATTTAAGCTTCTTGTTGTTGTTGTTAGTTAGTTGCCATCCAGTTGATTCCAACTCATGGTGACCCCATGTGTACACAGTAGAACTGCTCCATGGGATTTCCAAGGCTGTGACATTTTGGAAGCAGATTACCAAGGTTGTCTTCCAAGGTGCCTCTGGGTGGGTTCAAACCCAACCTTTCCGTTAAACACAGTCAAGCACTTAACCATTTGTGCCACCCATAGCTCCTCTAAGCTTTTAAGCAGCTGCCAAATTATCTTTTATTATTGCAAAATATTTATTTATTTATTTATTATTATTGCAAACAAAACCAGGACTCCATGCAATCACAGGTTTACTATATAATTCCTATCTGGTCTGATTTCGTTCCCACCATTTCCACAAATATTTATTGCGGTTTACTGGCTCTGGTATTGCCATAAAACCCCATCTGGATAACCATGTTTCCAGTCTTGTACATGAGGTGTTTTGTTATCAGGGTGTCTTGTTTTTGCTGTTGTCTGCGCAGGCTGCGTATTACAAAAAGCTTCTCTGTCTCAGATCCCTCCCTTGCCCTTCCTTAGTCCTAAGAAAATAAAACTCAACTATCTGAAGTGAAGTATAAAAATGCAGTTAAATCAAAGGAATTTGTCAGAAATGGCCCTGCTTGGTACATCTCTGGAATGTGTACACCTGCCCTGGGGACATGAGTGCAGCAGAGAGAAGCACACCCTTTCATCTCCATCATATTCTCGTGAGGCAGCAAGGAGCAGGTGTTGCTCTTTGTATGATCCAGCAGGGGGCTGACACAGCAAGGCTGAGTGATTTCCCAAGGTCACACAGAGAGTCATTTGGACAATCTCGTGCCTCCAAGCTCTCTGCTGGACCACCATGCAGCCCACATGTGCTGGCAGAGGGTGTGCCTACAGATGAGTGTGAGTTCAGCCCCTGCGGGTGGGTTCACTGGAAGACAGCACCCACCATCGTGTGCGCTGCTCTGGGCAAATGGGAACCTCTATGCTCCTGGCACAGCTCCGTGCCCACCAAATGCTGAGTGCGTACTGTGTAGGGAGGCACTGTCTCAAAGCACACACCTGAGAAGCAAAGCCATATGCTGACCCCATGTGATACTGGTTATCAGATAAGAATGCTGTGGGACAGCGGATAGACAGGGAGAGAAGCAGCGTGCAGTGCTGCCTCAGATGGTTTCACATCCACTTGTCAGTTGCCCCTGAAGCAGGGTAGCTCTCAGCTTGGGGAGAGGCCAGGATCTGGCTCCCGGTCCGACACAGTTCCCTGCAGAAGTCAGCCACCCTGTTCCTGCAAGAGGCTGTGGTCAGTTAGTCACACACCCCCGGGGCGGGGGGTCTGCTTGAGCCCTTCAGTATATGCCACCTATGTCTGCTTCCGTGCCAGATGGTTCCATAAAATGCTAAATAAATGCAATAAATCAGTCGCCATGGCCACTTTGTCCAGTGATGGGAAGCACCAACTCATCCCCCAGAGGAAGAGCACACAGACTACTGTCATGGATTGAATTATGTCCCCCAAATATATCTGTCAACTTGGCTAGGTCATGATCCCCAGTGTTGTATGATTGTCTACCATTTTGTCATCTGATGTGATTTCCCTATGTGTGGTAAATCCTATCACTATGATGTAATGAGATGGATTAGTGGCAGTTACATTGATGAGATCTACAAGATTAGATAGTGTCTTAAGCCAATCTATTTTGAGATATAAAAGAGAGAAGCGAGCAGAGAGACGTGGGGACCTCATACACCAAGAATGAAGAGCAGGAGTGCGCATCCATTGGACCCAGAGTCCCTGCGCTGAGAAGCTTCTAGACCAGAGGAAGACTGATGACAAGGACATTCCTCCAGAGCCGACAGAGAGAGAAAGCCTTCCCCTGGAGCTGATGCCCTGAATTTGGACTTGTAGCCTACTAAACTGTGAGGGCATAATTGTTAAAGCCATCCACTTATGGTAGTGCTGTTTTAGCAGCACTAGATAACTAAGACAACTACCTTTTGTCTTAGCTGAGTACCAAGCAAGCCCTGAGGACT